TATATATATATATATATATATATATATATATATATATATATATATATATATATATATATATTTGTTTTATTACAAATTTTTGAATAAGCGCATCACAATTAATATGAGATAGTTATTTTTCTAAGTGGGGAAATTTGCCGAAATTAGATATGAGATGAAAGCATTTAAGATTTATTAATATTAAGCAACAAAATGAACGTCGAAAGCACAACTTAGGAATAGTACAAAATGCGAAATTTTTTGGAAGACAGAAACTAATTAGTTTGGTTAGTTAGTAAGACTTTCTAGTTATTATTGTCATTCACACAGTGTGATTTTTCCTAGTAGTTGCAGTATATGATTGGAATTTTACTAGTTTATATAATGGTTGAATATTTCAATGAGTATTTATGATCAATGATCGTTAGGTTTAATTAACTAAGAAATAGTCTACTGTGTTTTATTGACGTCGATTTTCCTACGTGATGTTCTAATAAATTGCAGTTATTTGTGTTGCTCAAACATTCAGTTCAAATCTGAAATGCAGAAACTTTCAGATGCGAACTATTCATTACTTATTGTTGATTTACTGGCTTCTGTTATTCCCCTCTTTGATAATTGTCAATGCTGTTATAGATGCTTCATGGTGGTTAGTTCCAGTTTTCATTTTCAGTCCTTGCTTATACTTTAAAATTTCAGAGTTAGTAAATTTATGAAACCTTTTGAAAATAAATTAGCAACTAAGAGAACTTAGATAATTTATAGTGTTCTGAATATAAAATAGGCGATAAGTAAACGTTATATAATTTGTAGTGACTTCACACTCGCATTCGGTAGAACATTTGCCATACAAAAATTGGACATTGCGCAAGTCCAAAAAATTGTTGCACAGTAAAAATTACTTGTATGTTAATGCTTGACGAGTCGCTGCAACTGAAATCAGTTGGTAGACTTAAATTAATAGTTAAACGACCGCCATAGTTGACGTCATGAACTTCTTGCTTAATCTAATGTCCAGCCGCGCTTCCAACAGCAGGCACATTACTTGAACATGAATGGTCTTCCCGTTCACTTTTTCCTCATGCTTCTCGAAATTTGCGAAATGAGAAATTTTTGTCGAAGAATTTCTACTAATTCGGACTTCTGATGCCGTAGATTTGCTAAAAGATAAATCACATGTTTTATGTTTCAATTTAAAATTCCTAAACAGAATTTTAAAAAAGCTTTGCTTAAAAGCAGAAGGTTTCGTTAATGTTAATTATAGGTCTTCAGTTGCTCAGCTAAGCACAGCAAATTTGCTAGCTGGAAGTAGTGCTCGACCAACTTGCTTAACCTTGCAAGGTTTATCGCCAGGACAGGCTCGTATATGCGAATTATTTCGGGATCATATGCCTGCTGTGGGCGCTGGTGCTAAAGCTGCAATTGCCGTTAGTTTTTGCGTTCATTGCTTTCATCCTTTTTACAACCTTTCTAAATTTCAGTTCAGCAAAAATTGAAACCATTAATATAACGAAAACTAATCCAAATACTGGACCTATAATTAATTTTCATGAGCGTCATCACTCCCTAAACAGTATTCCCGAAACATCGGAGAGTAATGGTGTGATCAAAAATAAATTATGATAAAGATTGTAAATTTCTCGCCAAAAATGTTTTATTGCATTGTTGGCTTGACAAAGGCTTCAAGCTAATCAAAAAATGTTGCGGGACCTCTTCTTAGCCTCGTGAAGACATACAAACACATTGTTGATAAGCATATTTCTTTTGATTTTAACAGATTTAACTAGTAATGCCAATAATATAAAAGAGTCAATTCATATGGCTTGGTTATGGGAGCATTTGAGATATTCCAATAGTTGAAATGTATAGTTGGAAAGCGTAGTAAATATATGGCTGAAACGGTCTATAACCAATCAGTAGACTCAATCTCTTTAAGAATCTTTAAGAATGACTAAGGATTGAGTTCCATGTCTCTTCTGTTGGGCACTTTGCTGCAAATTTATGATTATCATTTATTCATCATTTAATTATTATTTACTCACTTCACCAAAGGCGGATATAGTTTATTGATTTTGTGGTATTCATTGGTAAATGAAAAAAAATACGAGAAAAACACGAGGGAAAAACAGGCAGCGATAAGATAAAGAGAGGAATGAATGATTACTTTAGTCGTCTCTTGTATTCAATGAACCGGTTCCTCGAGAAGGGAGTTTGTTTAATATTAATTCGCTAGCATTCTTCTTGTCACTAAATATCAAAACTGATATATAAAAAAGAGGAGAAGGAAAGGAACTCACAAGAAAAAGGATTTGGGAAGATTGGAATGAATAAAAATCCTATTTTATTTGACGTGAAATGCAAGTTAGAACGGTATAAGACTGTCTTTGATTGTCGGTCAGAAATTTCGTTCAAATTAAAAGTTACTGTCGAAATTATGAATAATTCTGTCACATTTTTTTTTCGCTATTGGACAATTTCCGATCATTTTATTATTTTTTTTCTTTTTTTGGAGGGGAGGACGAGGGGGAGGAGTGGGGTAGGAATAAAAAAACTTTCAAGATCAGAAGGAAACAATTTGCATACCTAAGCGAGCAAATTTCCCGAAATATGTTTCAAAGTCAGTAATTTTAAGAATTGGCGGAGGAGTCGCACTTCTTTCTTTTAAAGTTTACACATTTTTCGAGATGTTATTCAGATGGGAATTTCAATCTGGCGGTTTGAAAAATTAATTGTTTAATATGAAAACATTACTTAGATGCATATTATACTACCAACTACCAACATTGTACGGGGATGCCATACCATACCAATAAACATAATATGTTATTGAGAACTGAAATCATCTGGCTAAGTATCGTCGATAACGAAACAAAAACGTCCTAATGAAAATGCTTAAAAAATTTCTCGAAAATGAGGAAGGATAGTGACTGAAAGAAAAAGAATAAAAAGATAATCAGTGCTGATAAAATTTGAAGGTTGATAGGTGATATGAAGAAGGATTAAAGGAGCAGCAAGCAACTGAGGTAAATTGTTTGGAGGAGGGTTAAGGTGACACAAAAGTGCCATTTTTTGCCAATTTTTAAGTTGTGGGGAGGTAGAAAAAAAAAGTAACTCTTCGTCTTCCGCTCTGTCAATTTATTCTCCACAACATCGCAATTCACATTGCATACCTACATAATAAATCTCCTTTCATGACTTTACCACTCGTCCTTTTATAATGCTCTTCTTTCCAAATATCATTTTAAATCCAATATTCCGTGTACTGTATTTTTCGCTTTGTCTTCACACGATGTACTGTTTATGTAATTTCCATTAATGAAAACTATAAATACGGAATAATCTTGACTTGTTGCGCAAATTGAACACTTCGGGATGTACATGCGTGGATGTATCCGACATTTAATCACGCTTCTTACAATCGCATAAGATGTTTGACCAGATGGGTGAATGGTATGTAATAATGCTTGCGTGACATCTAACATCTTAATTTTGTGAAACTTGAATCCACAAAATTAAGGTGTTTGTAGGTGTTTGAACTATAGATTTTTGTTAAATGTTAAACTCTGAAATTTCTCTTAAAACTTTGTACTTCAACTTCACATTATCATCTCACATAAGTTTACTTGAACAACAGCAATTTTCAAAATTACTCGTCAAAGTACTTATTAGTCTTCATGAGTTTTTTTTCTTTTTTTCAGGAATGTCAGCATCAGTTCCGTCATGAACGATGGAACTGCTCTACACCGTATGGCTCCGGTTACTTTGGTCCAGTTCATAAAATCGGTTAGCTCTTCAAACTGCTGATTCCAACAAGTTTTGTATTCCAAGTAGACAACTCGGTCGCCGTATTAGCTGTTACGGGAATCAGACGGACAATTACACATGCTTTGACTATTTACATGTGATTCCTTTTAGAAGTCACATGTAAATACAAACAAAAGCGTCATTTTTATAGTTGTATGTGGGGCCAGTCTGAATCTGAATCCAGTCTGACTCTCTGAGTCTGAATCTATCTACAAGCAAACTTGAGGTGTAGTATATCTGGTTGTTCAATCCAGGTGAAATGGTAGGTTTCATCTCTGTGAAAAAATCATATAGTACATCCTTTACATAAGTCTTAATATGATGAAGATAAGGCAATCGAAAGCATCGGTAGCCTTGTCAACTAATGAATAATTTTATTTGACGATTGATTAGGTGTTAGATGGTCATTATCATCTTCAAATGAAATAAATTCAGGTTCACGAGAAGCCGCTTATACATATTCGATTCTGTCAGCTGGTGTGACGCATGAAATAGGTCGTCGATGTCGTCTCGGTTTGTTGCAGTCGTGTGGTTGTAGTCAAGCACCACGACCTAGTACTGTTAATGAGAAATGGACTTGGGGAGGTTGTGGTGATAATATTGAGTATGGCTACAGATTTAGTCGTGACTTCATCGATGTTCGAGAAAAAGAAGAGGGTTTTCCCAAACGGTCCACTGATCATGGACGTTCACTGATGAACCGGTGGAACAACGAGGTCGGCAGGAGGGTAATTTGTTTTCATCACTATGTGAATTACATTGAAATCGCTCATAATTGAACTTCCGCACGACTTCTACCTTCCATTTCTAGAAATATTTGTTTAAATACAAATGCTTTGAGATAAAAAAAAAGAAATCCATATGTTAATTCTTCAACTTTGAGTGATTGTACAGATATAATAGGAACTCATTTTTATGATTATATTCTGCATCCTTCACATATTTCTAGTTTCTTAATAATATTAATTTTCAGCTGCTAAAACGAAATACTCGTCCAAAGTGTAAATGTCATGGGGTGAGTGGTTCTTGTAACATGAAAACATGTTGGATGCAGCTGCCAACTATGCGACAAATGGGAGCTATTTTACTGGGAAAATATCATACTGCAAAACGGATCCAGGTGATGATTGATTTCTTCAACATATAGCCTTATTTTTATCGGGGATAGTTTGGAAAACGGGTATTATTTAAAGTTATAAGAAAATAATTTATAGATTAATACACGCGGCAATATGCAAATTAAAACTCAACCAGGAAAAAGAGATCGAGAAAAAAGTGGAGGACGGAAAAATCGTGCTTTACAAACAGAACTTGTTTTTCTGGATGACAGTCCTGATTACTGTATCGAAAACAGAGTGCAAGGGACAGTGGGCACCACAGGGCGAATGTGCAGGTTCTTTTTCTTGTAACTACCACAGAATTAAGTTTTATTTCAATCGATTTAGGGTCAGGTCTGTTGCTAGCATTGACAAGAAAATTGAAGTGCACAAACAATAGGGTTTTCCTTAAATGTCACAGAAACGATTACGACATACGGTAAAGTAAACACTACTAGAGGGAAAAAAAATGAGATTCATACAAGGTCACAGTTGTGGTCAACGTGCGCTGATGTCAGGGTTACTTCCAATCAGGCGCATGAGACAGTTGCTACAAATGTCCCGTTCCTGCTCAACAGAGATGGACCGATAGTGCACTGGTTGTCGCAGTGGGAAGACGATGCCTATTACCATGTTTTGAAGTATATAATCTTCCTACTCATGTTTCTTTCATTTAATCTTTTTTTTGTTTGTTTCAGAATAGGTTCGCATGGTTCCGAAAGTTGTGATTTTCTCTGTTGCGGTCGTGGTTATAACAGTTATACAAAAGAAACGGAAACAAAATGCAGATGTAAGTTTCAATGGTGTTGCAGAGTGGTGTGTCAGACATGCGTCAATCAAACACAGGTGGATATTTGTAAATAATCCAAGGAGACAAATCGTTTCATTATCTTCTTACTCATCCTTCAATGTAACATGCATCATCATATAGCTCGGGGATTTTGTAGGAAACATTGTTTGTACCACAGTTATTTGTGTGCTATCGACTACTACGTAGCTTTAAACTTTGGAAGCTTCCTTTATTTTCAACATTCCACATATAAATTTTTCAGTGTTTTCCCATATTTTTGGCAGACTTTTTGGGCTTAAATGGAAATTTTTTTGTTTTGAATTTTTCACATCGATTTTGTTTGGATTTGAAATACTATTTCAAAATATCATTTTAATATGAATAGTGCCACAAGCGTTTTAACCCCATATTGTAGCCTACACAGCATTCCACTGCCCTCTTTTTTGTTAATTTCCCGAAATTTTGCATTTTATTCATTTGTTTTACCATTCTTTGTGCTTCAGTAGCTTAGTATTTAGTACTGAAGAAATTCTTTTTAATGACTTCTTTTTTGGTCTAAAACGTCGTCATTTCTAACTATTACTGTTTAAGGTCCAGCAAGCTTCTTAGCTCTATATCTTTTTATTTTTCTGCCACCAAAATTACCTGAAGAAATCCGGAATTCTCACTGGTTAAGAATTAACTAAAAGATTTTTCCAACTGCTTGAATTGAAAATTGAAAATCGCTTTAAAGATCTTGACTTCAGCAAATCTAAGTGCAGTTCAAAATTTATTTGTCGTGTAAATGCTTTTTCAACGACCTCTTTAGTTGTTAGCGTTGTACAATATTACCTCACTCATGTTTTCTCTTTTTTTTTCTGATCATAAACTATATTGCAAGCTAAGTTTTGATGAACCAGAAAATAGTTCAGAATTTGTGTGAATTTCATGAATAAGTTTGGAGTTTGCTACCAAATGGAAGTTTTGGTGCATCTTTGCGGTGAAAATAGAGCTTGGAATTATGTTTATCATATATTAATTTGCTTTAATAAAATTAAAACAATTTCACTGAAGACTGGACGATCTTTTTGGTCATTTTAGAAAAGTGTGATGATTAAATTTTGCTGGAAACACATTATTAATAATGATAAATAAGCATGTGATCGGCTTCGTATTAGTATCGATTCAAAAAGGAGCTGTAGGTTGCTAAAATTTCTCATTTTAAATGATTAGATTTGAATGCGAAGCCGAGACATAATACACTACTTTTGTTTCTGACCGTTTCATTGTATTTGAGCTGTGGTATTAATTGAAATCTCAGTGATGTTATTTAGTAAGCTGTCTTTGTTGCAAACTTGTAGATTTCCAATACTTTGATGATGGCAAGGAAGAGAATTAGCAAATTACCAATGATGGGGGTGTCATTTCAATGAAGAAAAACAGCGAAGGTACTATTTTCTATCTTTTCATTAACCGCATGATATTCCACAGAAGTTTTTTAGTGAGAAATTGGAGCACGCATACAACACGTAATGATCAGGTGTACCTGATATCGACATCGAGTAACTTGAACGTGGTAGTTTGACTGGAAGTTCAAATTTTCAGATTTTTAAATATTCTTTATTGTCTGTCTTCATTAAAAGGGTCTGTGAACCGATTACGATTTGTGGCTGTCAATTACATTTTTTGTGTAGTGTTGCTCATGAGCATGTAATGAAATATGTATTGCTCCTGTCTCTAGTCATTTGTTTACTAATCATATTTAGTATTTCACATGTTGCATTTTACTTATGGTCACTTTTTAATAGCATTTCCGCGCAAGGAGATAGTATTAGCAATCTTCGAGTCATTCAATTTTGACAATACTCGAATTTCGAAAAAAAGTGTTTGCATATAAGTGACAAGTCAGGACTCCTGACCAGTTGCGAATTAAGCTTCCGCAAGTAATTCCAAGGTATGTAGCTTTTTCTATTTCGGAATTGTACCCGTTATCTTTTTCATGTAGAATTGAGTTCAATTTCTTTTTGCATTTACTTTCATTCTTTGGACTTTCAGGGTATCCTAGAAAATGTGAATATATCGTACGGCCGCTATGGACTGTGGTGATCAAGATCACCTTAGCACTAGATTGACAGGACAACGTTGTTTAGATGCTCCTCTTCAACATCACTTAAATTTGAGGAAATTCGTCGTAGAGGAGCAACCACTCAATTCAAGTCAATCTCTGTTCAAGAAATAATTGTTACCTGGATTTAATTACTGGATTCTATTTAAGCTGAAAGGGTCTGCATATAATTGCCGTACGATATAAACTGGACTTGTTGAAGAAATCAAATATTTAGTTGTTTCGATTCTCGACCATTGTTAGGAAGCCTAATAGTGAATACTTCAGTGAATAAAAAACTTATTTCTAGACGTTTAACGTGTTGAAATCCCTTTAATTAAAATAGAACTTTTGTGGGGGTTATTTCTTAATCGATCGTTGAAATCGAAGGTTAGGATAAACACAGATGTGAACTTCTGTGCGTTTAAAATTTTGAATTTTGTAAAATCCTAGTGTTATTGACCGCCTCCCGTTTTTTTCTTATGGTGGTCCAGATATTGCTGAAAAACTTTGTTCCAGTAAGATTAAAAAAAACATATCATGCTATGCTGGCAAAAGTTCGAGAATAGAGTAACTTACAGACTGTATTTGAGGCACGTAAAAATTGCATCTTCCTGCGTTGAAATTCGTCCTCCCAAGTTGCCTATCTGTTGCAAGTGATAAACAACAAAACTTCCCATCGCCATCAGAATGGAAAGTATCAAAGCAAAGTCTATTATGTATGTTGTTGCAGAAGAGTTTAATAAGCAATCATTCGATTTGTTTTAGATGCAAATTTCTGCTTCCTTTCTTTCCCAAATTTCTTAATGTTTCCAAGAATCCACAATTCACTGTGATAATTTATCAATAATGATGATCTGTTGTTGTTTACAGCCGCATTTCGATGTATAATTGAATGGTCAGCTCCCTACAACATACGTTTAACTTGCATGAATTTGGTCTGACTTATCGGAGAAAAGAGCACATAAAGCCAAGTGCGCCGGGAAAGAGGATTGAAGCAGCAATGTTAATTTTATTGACCATATGTCAAGGTCGCAAGAGAGCTCTTCAACTGGATGATTTACAACAAGAATGGCGGCTCATTAAGTAAAGCCTCCTTTCTTCTTTATTAACAGCACAATCCTCATTAGTATCTCCTCCAGGACAACTCACGTAGCTCATTAGCACGGAAAACCCCCTTCTCCCTTGTTCTTGGTCCCTTTCATATTCAACTCTAGGGTCATTTGTTTGTTCATTTACCTAAGGTGAGATCTTAAGACGATCTTTGTTGTGCAAACACATACGGACAGATACACGCACACACGCATATATACACGCAGATACACACATGTACAAATATTTCCCACAAACATGTGAGAAGGGGAAAAGGGGAGACAAATCTATTCTGTATCTATTGGTTGTCGCAAATTTGATGTCCAAAGTGCTGCATGAACTTCAAATCCGAGTTCCCAAGGGAACACGTGCAATACTGAGTGTAGCCAAAAAAGAGGTACAACCAGTTCAGTGTAGTAACAACAGTTTTAATAGATAGCCGTTGCAGCTGTGATCGATCACTGCTTTTTTAGAACGATAACGGACATTTCCGATGACTATCAGTGCTTCAGTAGCACGATCTAATGACTGCCCTAATTCATTTAACAAGAGAGATTCGTTATTCAGATAAGTGAGATGCGCCGCCGCACCAAAGCGGTAGGATGGATAGTGAAGGTTTCATTTCCGATTCATGAGTATAATAACCGACTTTCTCCATCTGCTTAATAAAGTACCACCTTCCAAACAGCACTTAAATTACAATTCTACACTGGTATCAGGCAGGACCGTAAACTCACATTGGCACTTCAGTCAGACCAGTCAGTCAGACTGTATATGCTTAAGATTTTTATTCGGAATGAAGCAACTACCAATTGTGAACATTTCTTTTGAATTATCCGGACCAAATGCAAACCTCAGTCTGCTCTCATCTAATTCAAATCTGCTAACCTTATCCCCGCTAAATTTTAATCCTAAGCAGAGGACAGACCATAAAAATAAAATCGGACAGTCGCAGGCAAATATAATATCATCACACCCATAAATCTGTATTACAGCGCACATAAATTACTTCTACTAATGAATCGCCTTCCGCAATCACGAACAAATGCAACGCAGCTTATTGCACGCTCTCCCCTCTGCAAACTCCCGGAATTAATTTCGCAGAAAAGTTGATATGGACTTCTAAAACTTTCCACTTAGCTACAACGAGATAGAGAAATTATAATTCAGTCCAGATGTACCTACTTCAAACTTGCAATGCGTCGACATCTGTTGGACAGATTAGTGTAAAGTCCGAGTTTGATGTTTGATCTGAGGCGAGTGACGCCTTAAGAATGATATTAAGGAAATGCTTAACACTTCAAATCTCCAGATTTCGTGATGCATCCGAACTAATTCACATTGATTTCGACTGTTTCCAGAATGCTTTTCGAACTCGCTCTATTAATATTGATATTACGAAATTAAAACCATTAACTTCGCGTACTGCATACCCAAAACGTTGCAAAAAAACCTAAAGGTGCTAAAGCTGCATGAACCACTTATTACCATTTTTATTTAATTCATTTCCGAATTTGAAGCTTATCTTGAATCTCAAGACTTTAAGTGAAACTATGTACTATCCTACAAGTTTCAGGGAAACAAAAAGTAATGTAATAAGCGCTTAAATCATATATCAAACAATACAAGCCACTCATTCATCACCGTACAATCTATTCAAAGTTTACCTTAGCAAAAAACATATAAAGACCTAGCATGATCAGGAAAAATTGAAAGGTTCCCACTTTTTCAACAGCTAATGTGGGAAGATTGAAGTAACACCCCAATAAATACATTACAATTAATGCAGTTCCACCTCACTGAACACATTTCAACAGAGAAATTAGCAAGTATCAACCCTTCACTAGTCTCATCTGACTTTTTAAGATCGTCCCTGTAAAATATTGTAAAAATGAACAATAATCTTTTTTTTTTTTAAAATGGACAATAATCGTACCAAAAGTCAGCGGTAATTCAAATAGTGCATTCCGAAACAAAAAATCAATTTCACAAGCATGAAAAATAGAATAATTTAGAAAACATAAGTCTTGAGAAAAGCTGATAGAAAACTGTAAGACTAGAAAACGAAAAGCAAATTGTTACAAGCTAGATTTAAGACTTCCAATAAATGGAATATTGAATAAACGAGTTGGCGAGCAGTTCAGAGATAAATTTGAATACTAGTTTTTATAGGTTGGATGGAAGTTTAATGAGACTGCTGAATGTCAAAAAAACAAATTCAACTTGTTGCAGATTCTAGCGATCACTTTGATGAGTTTTTTTTTGACCATCAACCAGAAACTCATCAACACGTTTGTTGAATAATTGATTTTAAATCGGCATCTATGTTCTCATCAAAAAACCAAGTGAGGTATGTAAGAACTGCACAAAAAAAATTGAAATCTTTTTTTACATCGAAGCACCGGTGGTGGAGATCGAAGCATCAAGACCAAAAAGCAACGATTGCACAAGGACAACGACAAGAAATGGTCAACTTTCAGAGTAATGATACAAATCATTAGTTTGTTACTGAAGATTATAACAGACAACATAATAAATCTACATTTGTCGAGTAGTTTAGATCAAATTTATGATGGATATTTCATTTTCACAAAATAAAATCGCCTATTTCATGTCAGGCGGTTCTGGCTATTTTGGCATCCTTGATAATCAAAATACAGAGAATATGTGAATTCTTTCGAAATGAAGTAGAATTTTAATAATCATCAAATCTCTAAATCAAAGATGTCCGTTATCAATGAAAATCGGTACTGGACTTGAATCGTAAGTGACTTTGTACCCAAAGGAACGAACAGAGCTAAGCGAAACAAGGACAACAATTCTATATTTTCTAGCACCGTATCAATTAACAGCTTCACAGCTCACGCAAATCACAACAAAAATATCGGAATTTTCAAAAAGATCCATTTTCCTTGGAAAATCGAGGATAAAAAACCTTTGAAAAAGCTGCCAAATTCCACAATATCTTAAACGCTCACCAGGAAACTGGAATTGAGCCACGTACTCCTGTAGCAAAAAGCGTATAAGTTCATTGGATCAAATCCATTAGTCTCTATAAGGCTTGCAATATGAATAACGGTGATTCATATGCTGCGAATAACTGCCCGAATGGCTAAACCGCTTCAAACATTTGTCACACTGAAAATTTTAGTTTCACTAAATATTACTTGAATCAATCATCAAAATCTTTACCCATAAAAAGTTCCAATAAAATTAAATAATGAAAAGGCTTCCGATTTTCGCATATCATACATTTCTCAAGCAGCTATACTGAACTAAAAGTGATTTTTAGTCAGAATTTAAATCCCTTGCTTCTATTAAAAAAAGACGAATATCAAAAATCCTAAAATATCTGCGATATTTCGAAAGAAAGAGCATGCCAAACAAAGGAACCCACCTGGAAAGGTTTTTCACCTGAATGCAATCTTTTGTGTTCCGTAAGATGATGTTTGTGTTTGAATGCCTTCTCACATACATCGCATTTGTAGGGACGCTGTCCTTTATAAAAATTCAGTTTCAATTAACAGCTAACTAATGTGATTTTCCGCTTACAGTCCAAAAAATATTTGTTACCCGAAATATTACAACTTAAGGTTTGTACTCAAGTTGTCAGGAAGATCTGCCCCGACCACAAACCAGTGTTTTTACAGCGACCAAATATCTTGTAATTTATTCGTAATTTATATGCCTATTCCACTTAATTCTTATTAACAAACCAGAATGTTCATATTTGTGCCTTGCCAACGAACTCTGCTTTCCGAACATTTTATCACATTGATCGCACGCATAGAGGCCTTCTTCATCAGTTCGATGTGGTTTCCAGTTTAAACGATGGCGCTTTTCACTCGATGAAATGTCTGACGCGTTATCATCATTATCATCACTTTGCTTAAATTTGGTAGCTTCAGATTTTGTTAAAGCAATTGGACGAAATATTATTTCCAGCAAAATTGCCTTAACATTCCTCAGTGAAATAAAATGCTTAATGATTCATATTATCTAGCAGTAATAGCCCTGCACGGAAAGTAAAGGTATAGTGACATATCTAAACGACATATTCCGTATTGTAAACCAAAGCCCATTCTGTATTATAAACAATCTCCTACAAAGACGCCACCGCTTATACAAAAGAGGTGTCTACCTCCAGAACTTTCTGAAGACCTGCTAAACCGTTGATACCCAACATTGAGTATTGTGACATAAACACACTACTGGGCCAAATACTTGATGACAGTGCAGCAGCCGAATTATCATCCAATAAACCAGCATCCGAATTCGATTCACCTTCCGAGTGAGACCTGGATGCCGAAGTAAGTATCGTTGGTGGAGTCTCTGAACGACCCTTCGAAGCTTGCAGCAGTGTTCCACGTATTGTTTCACTTCCTTTCGGAATAAATCCTGAATTATTTAGAGAGCTTTTGAATTATGAAGAACTACTCCCTTATAATTTACAAAAAGACTTTCTGTTCCTCCAAGTGCTTTTTTAATCAAAATTTGTAAAGTTCATTTAAATATAGTGTTGACGAAACAGGTTTTCAATTTCGCTGAATTTCTATCGAGAAAAACCGAACCAATGAGACTGCTAGCAGACCAGTAATCGTCCTGATTGAAGTCTTGTCTTTCTCCATCTCCCTCAACTCGAAAAACAGATGTTTGTTCAGCTGGGACTGCTGCTACTACAGTTGTTTCATCCTTTACTGATAAATCAAGTGGTAAATCACGAGCAGCATCCGATGTTTCACTTGACGGTAAATCAGTTTTCGCCGTTTGCTCATCCTGAGAAATACAACCGTTTAAATGAAACACATTTCAAATAAAACGTCATTTCTTCATATAATAAATAACACCCGAATGCTTTACTAGCACCACTGATTCGAATTCTATCCATTATGATGACATTAAAAAGTTCAATATACTTACATGTTTAAAGTCACAAATATGTATTCAAGATATGAGAGATGAAAGTTACTTTAAATCCAACAAATGTCATAAAGATTAAATAAAAAAAATACACATAAAATGAACTGAATTGAAATGACAGAAAACCAGACAGTTCAAGACTATTATACGATACAAACTGACAATTCTTTACCGATAGGCCGCTGTTCACAAGACCGCTACACTGTTGTGCCCAAGCAGCCATCAAACTTAAAGGATCGTTAGCAGCTGCTACTGCTGTAGCAGCACTTTGAAATGATATGGCATTATTCCACATGGAACGCGAGTATCGTTCGCAGGCTACACTTAACCGATTACTTCGCCGTTCCTTTGCTCGGGTATTTTGAAACCATACCTGTGGGAAACAGAACAGTGAAGAAAACAAATCTAGATTAAAAGATAACTGTGAAGGAATATCTTATGACTGGATTATATCCAAAGATTGTCGAGATAGAAAAGGTGTTCTGGAAATGGGCGGTACGGTAAGTGAAGATTATAGCAGGCGACAACATTACCAATAAGATTCATTCTTCATGACGCTGCAAACACCGACATTAATAATAGACCAACTATACGAACTAAACAAGAACTTAGGGATGCTAATCTTAATTTCTCGGTAATCATGTCATAATGGAATGGAGACAAAAAGTGTTGAAGTTAAACGCATCAATATGGTTTTGTTATACTTGACTGACTATCCCCAATTCTAATACATTGAACAGAATTTCTTAAAAGTGGTTAAACTACCCAAACAGTGCCCATGACTTTCTCGTCATTGTACGCCTAGCAGAACACGAATATATTTCCAAAAATAACAAACAAAAACCCCCTAATGCAATAATCCCCACAGCAGCTCAGAGAAATCGAATTAATTTGTAAATTTTGTTCTGACTTTTGTTTAAGCTCTCTCGTTCCTGAACACCTTGAATTTAATTACCGAATCAGCCCGTAACACAGTAAGCAGAATATACCAATCGCAGTTTGCAAAAAAAAGAAAAACTGCATAAACTAAGGAACAGTCAAACCAAAAACGAACAAACCTGCACTACTCTTTTATTAACTCCAATTTGTTCAGCAACAGCAGAAAGTTCATATTTTGATGGGAATGGGTTACGTTTGAAGTGAGCATGGAGAATAGCAACTTGAGCATCGGTAAGAAATGAACGGGACCGTAACGGCTTCCAGGTAGCACCACTACCAACAATACACGAGTTTGGTAAATCGGACCCACTTTGCGCTTCTTGCTGTTCAGCACTCTCACCAGAGGAACGGGACCTTTCCAGATCATCGTGGTGTGCCACACCATCCTGATTACTTTTTTCATTTTTAGCACATGAATTCTTCAAGAGTGTGCTATTCTCGATACCATCTTCAACATCGTTTTTACTGTTTTTACTATATACGCCTGCAGAGACCGTTCCTTCTACAGTGCAATTACTATTGCTGAAATGACGGGCCCAATAGCTGGCCGACAATGCCGATGATGACGTTGACGAACCAGTGCTACTCGCTGCCTTAAAATAAGTTTTTTAAAAAAGTATTTTTCCTTTAAATATAACCGCAGTAACTAGACATAAAGAATGGACTTGTATAGATATATATGTATATATATATATATGTATATATATATAGTCTTAAAAATGATGGAGAGAAAATTCGGCGAATAAAACCTTAAAGCAAAATTTGCAATACTATCAGTGAATATAAATGATACTTGTGACATGCCTTGGTGAATACTGTAAATACATGTAATCTTTGAAGAATTCTAGAGACTATAATGTAAGTGCCGGAAAGAGGAAGGGAGAATGTCGTAAAGCGATATAATAGTTTATCGTTCTTGAATGGTGTTCAGGACATCTGTGTGATTAAGTCAGTGTTTTTTTGTGATGTAATATATTGAAGAACACAGATTTAATGTCACAGAATACATTTCTCTGTCTCGCTGTCCTGCTCTTAATAGAGATTTCCTGCTTTCATTTTCTCCATTCCTTCATCACATGCACTTCAACTGCAATCAGCAAGGTCTTCGAATCACCCAGCTATCCTAGTTGCATAGTTAATCGTAGTAGATCAAACTCTGAGAAACGATTACAAATGAAGATAAATTGAGGAAGATAGCAGAATAACAGTTCTTGAAACCGCAAAACATTTTTTGCAACACTTCACTAAAACGCTGACCCTCCTTCCCCAAACTAAAAGAAATAAATTTCCCTGGTGAGATATTAGTTTTCCTATTGATAGGAACCTAATTTGAAAGGAATTTCCTTTTAGAGAAAAGAGGCAATACCTGTAAAAGTTGCTGTTGCAACAAGGCCGTATAAGGACCGACATTTGAATATGCAAAATTATGCGCTGTCTGGAACTGCAACAAAAGTGCTCGGTAAAGTACCATTTGATCGCCAAACTCAAATGCTGTTGATGAAGCCTGTGTTGCAGCTGTAGTACATTTCTTGCTACTCATGTGGGAGGAATACGAACCCGAATGTGAAAATCGCTTCTGACAATGTGGGCACTGTAATGAACATTTTGCAGCGTAAATTACAGGTACATAACGCGAAAATGTCAGTGATAAAACTGTATGATGTTTATGTATTCGAAACAATAGGAATTATCAACAAATTTCCAACTCAAGTTCCTTTCACTGATTATGCCTAAACATGTAGCTTATAAGGTCAAAAGAGAGCAAAAGATTGGTATTTCGTTATGATAACATATAGTGCTAAACATCACGAAAAGAAAGCTACAGTAAATGTTGCGACAGGATACAACGTATCACTGAAATGAAGATGTAAAATCAAAAAAAAATGTAAATTTTATTTCAACTTTAAATATGAAATTGACGAAGACGATGGAAATGACTTGAGAATGTTTATTAACACTTTCTTACTATTGTAATGATTAATGTAACTGTATCAGTGTTTTGACGCAAATAGGAAAAATAGAGGAACAAGGTGAAAAACACAGTTGAACAGTTAATAGAGGAACATAGTTGATATC